GTATGGGCGATCATGGCTCTCCACAACGTTCTGTCCTTTGTAGCTTTTAGTAAATTTTGTCTTTTTGTTATTTCTCCTACACCCTGTTCTATGATTCATTTCCATTTGCTCACTAGGTTGTTTATGCGTTATTTTCTTCTGTCCCTCTTGCCTTCAATATGCATCTTGTCAGTGTTAAATTTTCTAAGACCTCTTTCCTCATTATGCGCCATAGAAATTTCAAGTATCATTTCCAAGTGTTAATTATAATTGTCCTTCTGGTACAATTTTCTGTAAAACCTCATCATTACTTACTGTTCGGTCCATGGTATTCTCAACATCCTTCTGTAGAGCCACAGTTATATTGCCTCAAGTCTCTTCTTGATATGTGAGGAGATTGACCAGCATTCACTGACATATAGGACTGATATTACGTAACAGTACAGTACACTTTTCTTTGTTTCTATTGCCTCATGTCTCTTCGTCAACTGTGAGGAAATTGTCCAGCATTCACTGCCATAGAGGAGGACTGATATTACGTAACAGTACACTTTTCTTTGTTTCTATTGCCTCAAGTCTCTTCTTCATCTTTGAGGAGATTGTCCAGCATTCACTGCCATATAGGAATACTGATATTACGTAACAGTACACTTTTCTTTGTTTCTATTGCCTCAAGTCTCTTCTTCATCTGTGACGAGATTTTCCAGCATTCACTGCCATATAGGAGGACTGATATTACGTAACAGTACACTTTTCTTTCTTTCTATTGCCTCAAGTCTCTTCTTCATCTTTGAGGAGATTGTCCAGCATTCACGGCCATATAGGAGGACTGATATTACCTAACGGTACAGTACACTTTTCTTTGTTTCTATTGCCTCAAGTCACTTCTTCATCTGTGAGGAGATTGTCCAGCATTCACTGCCATATAGGAGGACTGATATTACGTAACAGTACATTTTTCTTTCTTTCTATTGCCTCAAGTCTCTTCTTCATCTTTGAGGAGATTGTCCAGCATTCACTGCCATATAGGAGGACTGATATTACGTAACAGTACACTTTTCTTTCTTTCTATTGCCTCAAGTCTCTTCTTCATCTGTGAGGAGATTTTTCAGTATTCACTGCCATATAGGAGGACTGATATTACCTAACAGTACAGTACACTTTTCTTTGTTTCTATTGCCTCTAGTCTCTTCTTCATCTGTGAGGAGATTTTCCAGCATTCACTGCCATATAGGAGGACTGATATTACGTAACAGTACACTTTTCTTTCTTTCTATTGCCTCAAGTCTCTTCTTCATCTGTGAGGAGATTGTCCAGCATTCACTGCCATATAGGAGGACTGATATTACCTAACAGTACAGTACACTTTTCTTTGTTTCTATTGCCTCAAATCTCTTCTTCATCTGTGAGGAGATTGTCCAGCATTCACTGCCATATAGGGGGACTGATATTACGTAACAGTACACTTTTCTTTCTTTCTATTGCCTCAAGTCTCTTCTTCATCTGTGAGGAGATTTTTCAGTATTCACTGCCATATAGGAGGACTGATATTACGTAACAGTACACTTTTCTTTCTTTCTATTGCCTCAAGTCTCTTCTTCATCTTTGAGGAGATTGTCCAGCATTCACTGCCATATAGGAGGACTGATATTACCTAGCGGTACAGTACACTTTTCTTTGTTTCTATTGCCTCAAGTCTCTTCTTCATCTGTGAGGAGATTGTCCATTATTCACTGCCATATAGGAGGACTGATATTACGTAACAGTACACTTTTCTTTCTTTCTATTGCCTCAAGCCTCTTCTTCATCTGTGAGGAGATTTTCCAGTATTCACTGCCATATAGGACTGATATAACGTAACAGTACAGTACACTTTTCTTTGTTTCTATTGCCTCAAGTCTCTTCTTCATCTGCGAGGAGATTGTCCAGCATTCACTGCCATATAGGAGGACTGATATTACACAATCAATACACTTTTCTTTATTTTTAACGAAAATTTCCTGTTTCTTTATACTTTACATATACATTGGTTTTACTCTTCTGGATATAACCATGAATTCTGTAATTGTCGTTAACATGTAGTCTTTTCTTCTTGCTTTCCTTTATTATTATTATGTAGAGGTTCTTTGTTATACCTGACGTACCTATTCTATTATTAATAGACTCTCCCACACATAATAAGTAGTAGTAGTAGTAGCGGTCGACAGTTTGGCTCAGTGGTGTTGAGTGAGTCAGTCAATGTCGGACATTGAAGTATCAACCATTACAACTAGATTGCTGCGTCATTAACTCTTATTTCAAGTTCTTAACGTTTTGTACATCGAACCTAATTTAGGACGACTTATTGAAATAAAAGCCTCCACTGTGAAAACTACTTTACAACATTCTTTCAGTTTTTCTTCTATCATCAACGCAACAACTTGTCATGAAGAATGAAAACTCGATATTTAAAAAACGTAGGGAAGGCAACGGGAAGCTAATGTTTTTTTTAAGCACAGTTATATCAAAGCAGAGTTTATAACATGAAGGAAGCTGTGGAGAACCGTGATCGCTTTCGTTCTGTAGAGATATGGTATTAAACAAAAGATTAATGAGACTACAATCACGGTCTAAAACAAATTAGGGATGTGGCGTATCTCTCGCTGCCCTATCGCTATTGCCATGGAAATTGCCCGGATGAAGTATATTCCTTGGTTCCGCCAGATCGATCCATCACTTATATTGTAACAAACCACCCACATTACCTCCATATTTCAACGGTATGAAGTCAGTTTCAGTCGAACAGCTGCGAACCACTGCTCTGTGTAACCGACTCTCGTGAGGATGTTTCCCTGATCATTACAATCTTAACCTGTTCAAGTCTATGGTTAACCATTATCTCCCCCTCCTATTTGTATAAACTGCCTCTTAACATGACCCTCTACCAGGAGTGGCCCCAGGGCCTTGTACAGGGTGAACCTTACTGTAAAAAAAAAAAAAAAAACAAATTCGTAACATTAAAAATAGTCAGTTATTTTCTTTCTTTTCTTTTCTTTTCTTTTCTTTTTCTACGGTTTATTTTTGTCTTTACCTCCGGTTACTTTTGAAAGGTTCCCTTTAATCTCAAACCCCGCATCTCCAGTTCCCTTCTGTTACCAAAATCTGTTTGGTTGTTGGGAATGGGAGTTATGTGCCCCCGCCACCAACCTTGGACGGCCTCGGGCTTGTGTATCACACAAACAGACCGCCGAATCGGGGCGAACGAGAGGGAGAGTTTACAGTCTAAACATGATCAATAGCTAACAAGTGTCTTTTCGGTGATGAGAGTAATCAGATCAGAAGGGGTTTACACTGAAGAAAAAAAATAATCTCAAAGCCGGGGAAATATAAAAGCCACTTTTTGGACAAATCAAGTAGATATCTAGACCAACATAAACACTAAGAATTAAAACGGAATCGAACAGTAAGTAGCAGAAATTGCATCAAAAGACGGTCGTTACGAATAGAATGTTTCTCTCTGTTTCTCATATTCTTCTTTTTATTATTATTGGTAGTAGTAGCAGTAGTATTAATGTTATTACCGAAGGTCACTAATAACATGGACAAAATATTAAAATGCTACTTATCTTATTTGCCTTCTATTAAGACGCGTTTTCTAATGTAACAATAAAACTGTCCTGTAATTTAGTCGTATTACTGATGGGAGACAATTGAGTGCTGTACTGATAAGCTGGGACATCGGATGGGTCCTCTAGTCATAAAAAGTGTTACTCGGAATAAAATATAGAAAACAAGCTAAATTATTATCGTAAATTCTGTTTGTTTTACGGCATATCAACCACAATGGGTCATTTAATGCCGACAACTTTTTTTTTCCTGGTAATATTTTTGTTTTGTCAAAAGTCCATAATATTTTTTTTCTCAAAAATGTATAGCTGGTAATATTATTTTTCAAAAACGTATAGCTGGTAATATTATTTTTTTCAAAAATGTATAGCTGGTAATATTATTTTTTCAAAAACGTATAGCTGGTAATATTTTTTTCAAAAACGTATAGCTGGTAATATTATATTTTTTCAAAAACGTATAGCTGGTAAAATTATTTTTTTTCAAAAACATTATTTTTTCAAAAACGTATTATCAGAGGCCTTGCTGTTGGACGTAGTTTATCGTCTTTCCCAGGACACGGATGTAGTTTATCGTCATACCCAGGACGCGGATGTAGCTTATCGTCATACCCAGGAGGCGGATGTAGTTTATTGTCATACCCAGAAAGTGGATGTAGTTTATCGTCATACCCAGGACGCCGTAAATTGTCTTACGAATATAACATATATATGGTAGTCTGTACTCTTTGATGAAATACCAGTTTCTGTTCGAATTCTGATGTGATGGAATAACCTGCTACCCCCACGAGTGGTGGTACTATAGGTGGTAACCACCTATAAGTATCCGTGAGGACAGCGGCCGAGAGAGTCGATCTGGGACCTGCGAGAACTAGCGGCCTTCCGATAGCAGCACGCACACAACTATACTGACTTGCGACGACCGTGCGCATAACTATTATTTCCTTGCTTGTTGTACTGGTTTCTACAATAAACCTGTTACCTTTTATCGACCTTATTTGTCCATTCCATATTCCTATTAGCACGGAATATAACAAGTTCATTCAGATATTTTCCTGCTATTTGTCGTATACTGCTGGCAATATTCGGTGAAACATCTCACTTGATCTTTTCTTTATCTATAAGAATTCATTCACATTTCTTATAATTTACTGACTGCTTTATAACAGTTTGATTTGTTTATATGTACCAATAGACATTGATACAAATCTATCAGTATAATATTTTTAGTTTGTAAGAATTTTTAAAAAATAATAATGATTTAGTAATACAAGCTTTACTAATTAACCTATAGCTGGGGGAGAAGAGTTGTATTCATACCTTTCCCAAGGTTATTTGCGCGTAAGTGAATATAACGAACCTGGCTGTTCTTCAAGTTTATCTTTCCATGCCGTTATCCATTACACCAGATCTAAGCTTACAGCACCTGGTATTCGCAAGCAGTCACCCATCTAGTTACTGACCAGGCTCGGCTTGACTTAACTTTGGTGATCGTACGAGAACCAATGTTTCAATATGATGTGGTCGTAAGCCTTATACACATCGAGAATACAAATGTGATATGCACTTCCAACTGTAAAAAGTCTTTTAAAATAATGGAACCTCTTATGAGAAGAAAAAAGAAACAGAAAAAGCAATATTTGATAACATCAATTATTAACACGCTCAGTACTGGCCATATTTGAAAATTAAGGTGTCCATATTTCAGGATTTTTTATGACTGTAGCATATACAGACCATTTGTTTTTGTAACATGACTAAAATCGTTCAAAATGCTTACTAAACTAACCAAAAGCAAGCAGAGCATTAAAACATGTAAAATATTTCGTTTGAAACAAAGAAAAGTGATAAACTACTGTGCTGCTACATATGGTCTGGTGCTCTTTCTAAATCCTTGTGTAAATTAATTGAAAAAGCTGCTTTAGTTTCCTTTCTTTCACCATACGGTAAGTTTTACACCCACTGGAGTGACAGGATATAATCGATTTTTATTTTTCCCTCAGATTAGGTCATTTGCAGTTGTGAGCAGCAATATGAATCTATTTTCGGGGTGTATGATTAAATTTGTTTGGCCTTGAAAAGTATTGCGTCATCCGTGATTGCATTAGATGGATATCACGCTCAAACACTATTGTCTCAACTGTCGATTAGTTGTCCTACGACCATTGTCTTCGAAAATTGTAACGCTGCACGAACACAATAGTAAGCCTTACCAGCGAGCAAACTAAAGTACTATCGACTGGCTTGGAAACCCTCCAATCGAGAATATGTAGTCAATCTGCAAGAAAAGACAATGTGGAATGGACATACGCATTACTAACATGTGCACTGGCTCATGTTTCATTGGAAAATACGATAAAAAAGTAAATAATAACGGAATTATTCGTTTTGATTCAATTACTCGATGATTTCTCTTCAATATATTTTGTGAGTGACAGATTATACAACTCATTATGTATCACAGACGTTTAAACTGTCTCGTTATGATTGTAAGTATACCTGTCCCTTCATTATTATTTTTTAAATTTATTTAAACTGTCTCGGACAATAGTCGGAATATAAATAATGAAAATAATCGATGAATGTCTAAATGGAATGGTAACGAAGCAAACGTTGTTTAGTGCTACAAGGGACAGGGAGTGGTGGAGAGCTATGACCGCTCACTTTCTTAAGGGACACGCTATATAAAATAATTTTTTATCATCATTCACAAGAAGGAATAATAATGTGTTACTTATTTTTAAAGAACGGCGTGCGCGTGAAGGGATTTTATGTAAGGCATTGCACATGTTCAAACTCCTCTCGACATCCCCTCCAGGTCCGAGAGATTGGTCAGGCGAAGTTTTAATGCTAGTAAGATGGAGCTCATACTGGTTGTCAGATCTCCTCCGGCAATGGCTTCAGGAATATTTTCCTCTCACGCTCGAAACTCGTTCGTCACTCGATGATTTACAAGAGATTTGGAAATTTCTCCTGTGAACCTAAGCCATGATGCTAAAAATTCCAAGGGATAATTAAAAATACTCGGTTCGAACCACTTACCCAAAGCGTTTCTGGCAATGTTTAACAAATGTGCACGCCAAAAATAACCAAAAGCGTGATTTTTTTTTGTCTTGACACCGCTGACTCTATAGACTTGGCAATTTTGATATTTTCAAAAAAAAACTATTTTTAGAAATTGAATAAAACCCAAATATATGAATCTGGATTTATAAATTTTTGTTCTCGACTATGTGACGAGAGTAAATGAAAAAATGTTCAGAAAGTGCATTTTTGCAAAATTTATACATACTCATCCGTATGTGTTTATGTAAATGTTCCTATCCTCTTCTTTACATAAATTTTTTATAAATTTATGAAAGAAAAAAGTTTTCCTACTTATTCATAATATGGTAAATGATAAATATTATGTTGTAGCTGGCGCCGATATTTCTATAATTTTGTAAATATAAAATTATTCTTATAAATAATCTAATAAATAAATAGTGTTTAACATCTTTGTTGTCACTTCTCGAGAAAAAGACGAAATGCCACAAACCCACTTTCATATCTTTGGGTATTATTAAAATCGTAAAAATAACTTTTTAAAACAATAATAAAACAATGAAATTGCCAAAAGAGTAAAATAGTCAAGAGAAAACCCGGCTTTTTGACAAACATTTGCTTAGAGAAATGTTAGAAACATTAATGACAAAGTGGAAAAATACTAATTTAAATTGTTTGGAATGATTTTTGTTCTTTTGAAATCACTAAAACCGGCCATATTAACAAATCTGTCAACACAGCATAATTCTCTTTATTAGAAAATCTTTCAAACATAAAATATACTTTTTTCGGAAATGTTATTTCAAGAAGATTAATTGGTTTAAAATTTAATTAATCTTAATTAAAACAGATATTACTTTTAGTTTAAAATATTGCAGAAAAGCATTTTTAACACGGGAATGGATGTTTTATGAGGTGTTGGCATATTTATTGATAACAGAATATTTGCGAAATTTATGTAATGGGTAAATACTTGTAATAAAATTACATGACGAATAAAACGTAAACGCTCTTATTTAGATAATTTTTAAATATCCAGTAATTTTAAAAGTTTAAAATATTTGAAACATACTAATGTTTTATTGTATTTTAGGTAATTTGGCTTAATAGCCTTACTTATGGACATACTTGTTGAGGAAAATTACCAAAAAATATGCCGCCATGAATTAACATAGAATTTAAAACAAATTAGAAGTGTATAAATGTTTCCAATTAAAATTTGAAAAAAAAGAAAATTCTTGTAAAAATTAATTTTTCCTCGAAAACTTTTTTCTTAAGTCAATAGTGTCCATAATATATTTTATTCATAAAAGTAATTAAAAGATTTTCTAATTAAATAATGTCTTAGTTTTATTGCCTTTTTATTTTACGATTCAGAGCAGATTTTCCGAAACTAGGGATCCTGTTTGACTAAAAAAAATTGATGACATAATTTCTCTAAACCTTTGTCCTTATAATTAGTATAAACATTAATCGGTACAAAAAAAAAAAGAATTTCCTGAAATTTCATAAAATTCAGTAAATGTAGGGTAAAAATTTAAAAAAAATATTCTTTTACCAAAATTTTGTATAAAAGAAACGTTTAAAAAATAATGTAGTTCATTTATGAAGAAGTCCTGAAAGTTTCATTAAATCTGAGAAATATCTGATTTTGCAAGAATTTCCAAATCAATGTTTTCACCTCAAAAAAAAAAAAAAAAGATAAATAATTTACATAAAAATACTTTGGCCTTTCCTCTTAATAACACAAAGATTTTGAGGATAAAATTTTCTTTTTAAGTTTTTCGTCATTTTTTTCATGTATGCTAATATTGTTAGCGAATCTTTGAAAGTACCTACATATATATATATATATATATATATATATATATATATATATATATATATATATCACGAACAATTTTAATGAAAAAAATTATGATAAAGTGGAAATAGTTTTCGTTTTTGTCGTTTAGAATTTCATCGAACCAAAGTGAAGTTTAAGTTGATGTGAGACGACGATGAGAATTTTAATTTCAAAATATTTTCTTAATATATGTTTTGTGTCTATAATCTAGCCTATTTCATTAAGATACTTTTCTTTACGTTTCCATCACTTTTGTTATTAAATATCTCATTTTTCATAATAGAATAAAAAACAATAAAAAACTTTTATTATCATAATTCGTCTCCTTAAAATTGTTCTTGACACACGCACATACACACATATACATATATATATATATATATATATATATATATATATATATATATATATATATATATATATACATGTTTCATTAAATCGACAGACAAGATACTAAGGTTAAGTTTTTATTTAATTTTCGTGTTTTTTCGGACAAGAGCTTTCTTTTCTGGACAAAAGTGTATAAAACTGTCCAAATGTTTTATATTTCCGAGCGCTTTCGGCTATACCTTTAGCCATTATCAAAAATGATTCGATTTTTCAAAGATAATTGAGTGTGTGCATTATGTGTATGTCTTGGTGTGTAGTCGGGATGTTTTAATTTCCGAATACGGTTAACTACGAATAAGACTACAATGTGGTAACAGTTATGTTATATGTTAGGTGAATTAATCAGAAAGTTTAAAATATTTTTTTATGTGGCGTGTTTTCGCCGTATTAATAAATGTCTGGACGCTAAAGGCCACCATTTTAGCATCTCTTGTGATTATTAATCTTGTGATGTCTGAATAAATTTCGTATTACAATATCTATACAAGTTTTTCCTTTACTGTAGTGTGTACACTGAGTCCACGCCTATTCGCAGCTTCACACATTCGAGGGTTTTTCTGTCGAACACATGTACTTGTTATTCACTGAAACCCCGAATATTCGCATGTTTTTCTGAAGAACATATGTGTAAATTATTCGCTGAGAACTTCCTCGATTCGCGTATTTTTTCTATAGAACATATTTAAAATATCCTTACATTATTTTCCTGTTATTTAAGTGACAAAAACATATAACAGTCTATTTTTATGGTAAAAATTGACAGAATTGTACATCTTCATCATAAAAACAAAAGCAAAAACATACGTAGTTCCTGGGCCTCGTTCTTTGTTAGGGACTGCGGCTGGGGTCTTAAAAGTGGCTTATGCTGAATCTGCGGGCCTCATCAGGGTTCTTTATATTTGATGTCTTGTTACACATATTTTATACAGTATTTTCAATAGTTGCATCGATCTATGCGTATTTAAAAATGGTTATTGTACGTATGAAAGAAAATTTACGCTAAGTGTATGATCACCAATACTATTTTTCAAATATGTTTTAAAAAAAAGAAAAATGTTTCTAAAGTGTTTAGGGTGAAAAGATTAAGGCATATGGGATTATAACAATCAAAATAGGTACTTATAAGCACCTTTAGGCAGGGGTTACAAATATTCACACATTTCTCTCTCCTCTCTGTCTCTCTCTCAATATATATATATATGTATATATATATATATATATATATATATATATATATATATATATATAT